AAATTAACATAAAAACTATAAATTAGGGTTTATATACACTGACTTTCTGAGTTCTCTATTTCTCTCAAGATTATCTAAATTTTATAACTTTCATAACCTAAGCAAATTGGGATTTCAATTAAAAATAGAAAATGAAAACATCGAACTTGGTTACATTACACACTGCAAATCCATATTGCATATAAGTTTCAAGCAAATTATTACAAATAGATGATAAAAAAAAAAAAACCACAAATCATTTAATTTAAACAGACATTTCACCAAACACACCGAAAAATCAAGAAACAATGCCTGCTCAGCTTGGCCTTATTGACGTGGAAAGAGGAGAGGACATCCGTGCAACATGGACATCTTGAACCTGAAAAACAACAAAAAGATGAGGTTACTTGCTCTGGTACGGTTTTTATAATTAAGTGATGAAGATGTTTAACAAGATTTGCCAAAATGTGTACCGACCTTTTCTGGCCCCTAGGAAGAGACTGATGGCTCAAACAGCCTCAACTTTCTTCCCAATCTGGATACATGCTCTCTCACCAGAAAACCAACTGCTGCTACAAGTAAATAAAGGCAGTCCTTCAAGTTGCTGAGTCGGACCCTCACGTTGTTGAACAATTGGAAACAGAGATGTTTCCATGGATGATCAAACTTCACAGCCAGAACTCCCACAAAGCCGATAGCAGCTCCAAGTTCCATTCCCGGTTTAAATGATTTCCAGAATTCAGCGCTGTCTTCTTGATTGTCTTTGCCACCACCGTCTGTTGGTTTGCTCTGGGATTTTTCATCTCCTGGACAAGTTGGTGTCAGAGGAAGTCCACAAAGTGCAGGATCACCAACAAATGCAGAAGCATCAAAGGATTGCATCTGGGTTGATAATGGGATTCTCCCTGAAAAGTTGTTGTATGACAGATTTAAAGTGCTGAGGAAATTTAATTGGGACATGCTCCCAGGAAGATGACCTGAAAGCTGGTTCTGTGACAGATCAAGTGATTCTAACTTTCCCATTTGCCCAATATCTGAAGGAATTCTTCCTGTCAACTGATTTCTTGATAAGTTCAATTGAACCAGTTCAAAGAGAGCTGATGTCTGGACAGGAATCTCTCCTGTTAATTTGTTGCTTGAAAGATCAATGATCCTCAGATTCTTGAGATTTCCATTCCCATAATCACGCTCCATACCTTTCCACATTACAGATGCTTTGTCAACATATCTTCCATCGTACCCGGGATCAGCATCAATACGTATTGGAAAACTATGATCACGGGCCGAATTCTCCTTTTGAGCTAACGCAGTTAGGTTATGGATGCACCATGGTATGCTTCTAGATAGATTGTTGTTGGAGAGGTCTAGCAGCATAATATTTGTCAACCAGCATAGCTGTAAGGGGATGTCTCCACTGAAATTATTGGATCTCAGAAGAAGGAAATTCAGTGAACTTAGCCTTTCTCCTATCCAAGCTGGTATTATTCCAGAGAAGCTATTATAATTCAAGTCCAAAAATTGCAAGGCACTGCAATTTCTTAGAGCCCAAGGTATTTCTCCTGAGAAATTGTTGTTTTGCAAACCTAACGATTCAAGGCGAGACAAAGATCCAATAGAGCTTGGAATTTTCCCAAAGAAATGATTATCAGCCAAGTTCAGAATCGCTAGACTTGTCCATCGCGTCATGCAATCAGGAAGCTTTCCAGATAGTTGATTGTGGGAAACATCAAGGAACACAAGGTTCCCACTTGTTATAGTACAGAGAGAGGAAATTGACCCAGAAAAACTATTTTCTGCCAGGTTTATGGATGTGACATCAACAGGGAATACTGGTAATGGACCCTCCAACTTATTTTTACTCAAATCTATCTCAAGGCCAAAAGAATCAGCAAATTTTGTAGTTGACAAATTTGGCAAAACTCCATAGAGATCATTGGAAGAAAGATTCACATGAAATGCCCAAGAAGATAGGTTCCAAAACCACTTTGGGATGTTATCTGAAATCCCAGTTCCAGAGATATCAAGATAAGAAAACTTTCTCTGGGTCTTTAACCATCTTGGAAACTTGGGGGCCTAACTTGCACGACACAAGTTTTATATCATCCAACTGGAATGGAGGAATCCAGTCATGGCTAAAGTTGAAGCTCAGAGGATTAAAAGACATGTCCAAGTCATGTAACTTAGATAGGTTTGAGAAGTGTGATTCAGTGATCATCCCATTCAAGGAATTGGAAGAAATTTGTAACAACTCAAGCTTTGACAAGAGTCCAATACTTTTGGGCAGAGTACCGCTTAGTTGATTGTCGTAAAAATCCAAATGTCTCAATGACAGGAAGTTTTTTATCATATCGGGCAAGGGTCCCTTGATTTTATTTTCACCCAAAATCAATTCTTCCAAGGAGAGTTGTAGACAACCAGATAAGTTACTAATAAGTTCAGGAAGCATTCCGATAAGATTGTTATGAGATAGGGCTAGGTACCTTAATTTGCAGAGGTTCCCAGAGGACTTTGGAATCCCTCCAAATTGGTTGCCAGAGAGGTCGAGGGTTTCTAGATGAGTCATGTGACCAACATTTTCTGGAATCAGACCTTGAAAAGAATTATAAGACAAGTAGAGATGAACAAGGCTCTTATTGAATTTGGACAACCACTGGAATGTGGAAGCACTCAGATTATTAACCCTTAGGTCAAGGTAAGCGAGAGAAGTAGATGTATTAATCATGGGAATAGACTGAGGAAGGTCATATGAGAGATTGCATCTATATAGTTGCAAGAAGGATAGATGAGGGAGCTTATTAATTACCTCTGGCCAGTAATTATTGACCTTACTTAGGTCGGTGTCACTCAGATCAAGGAATTGCAAGTCAGAAAGAGGAGAGAGCCACTCAAGATTTTTGATGTTGAATTCGTTATAGCTAAGATCAAGAAACTGTAGACTTGTGAGGTTTGCAAGCTGACTAGGAAGAGATCCACTTAAATTACAAGAATTGAGATCAAGATGTTGTATTTTGTTGAGTGAACTGATAGACTCTGGAATGTGACTTAAATTGAAATTATTCACACCAAGGTCTAAATAAACTAAATGCTGTAACTCAAATAAGGAAGGATTAAGATTACCTCTTAACCCAAAAAGTGTAAGCATAGTGACGTGCCCTGTTCTGTTACTACATTGAACTCCTTTCCATTTGCAACACTCTTTTTTCTCTTCTTCACTGCCCCATGTAGAAAACCTGCCATATTCATCAACTAGACTTTGCTTAAATGCGAGGAGCGCTTGTCTTTCGCTCTCTATGCACTTAATTTCATGATCACCAGTTGTTGAATTGAATCCAACGGAAGTTTGCATACGTAGTAAAATCAAGAGTGCATAGATAAGTTGAAGGGACCTTCCACCCAAAACCATCATCTTGGAAGTGATGAGAATGAAATCAGAGATGGAGATAGTGTATGTGAAGGAAATATGATAGACATGTAAGATCGTGGTAATGGTTTGATGAGTTCTCAGAACCATTCTACCTAGCTACTTATATATAACAGCAACCAAACATATAAAAGGACGAAAATGAGCACATCAAAGAAGATTTAGAAAAGGAAACGAAAGAAAAGAAGGAAACGTATATTAATTGGCTGCGGGGTGGAAGGTTAAAGGAAGATGACAGTTTGGAAATTTTGAACTGAAAGCTGTAGTGGACCAGATGGCTTGATCTTAAAATTCAACAAATCAATTACCAACTTATGTAAAAGAAATCGAAGACCATTGACTTGGCGACTTACGCGCTTTGGTCTCATTCTCGCTAGAAAACCACTTTGGAATAAAGGCGGTCTTTTAAGTTGCTTTAAACCATACTTGG